TAAAAAGAGATTGAGACCCATCTTATTCTAGAGTGAAAAATACCAAACCAATAAGATATTTCTACGCTGTGGGAGTAAAATGTCCATTTACTCCCTCGGGTAAAACCTCACCTGGAATTAATTTTGGGACCTCAAACTTTGGGGATGTAACCTCCTCAACCCCATAGATTGACCTCAATAAAAATAAATAAAAATCCTAATTATGGCCTCTATGCACTTGAAAAAAATAATGTCTTGAGATTGAGTAGAGACCATCCAATTTTAAATGATGAGATATAGGTGCTAGAAAACTCAAATGTTATTATTATTTTATTTTTTTTTACGAATAATCATCTAGTAATTTTTAAGTAATTTTCGAAATTTTAGATTGAAAAAATCCTCCCAAGTAAATCATCTGACTGAGGAAGTAAAAAACCATACTCCCAAGCATGCATAGTATACGTGCTCAATACGAAAAATCTAAATATAGACTATAACAAGCTCGGAGAAAACTAGTAAAGAGAAACCACAAATAAAAATGAACACAAATGCTAGAGTCATGTATGACGTAATATCATGTCCATCAACCAAGTAAACGTTATCATATATGCAAAAGTCTTTTAAAAAGCAACTTTTTTTTTACAATCACTTACAAGAGTACAATATGCAGTATAAAATATGGAGATATACAATTAGGCATCGTAGTACACTTAATGCCTTATTGTTGTTAACATTAGGGGTGGCATTTCCCACCCGGACCCGGACCCGGACCCGGATCCAAAAATATAATATAAGACCCGGACATGACTCAAAATTAAATATTTATTAATTTAACTATATTTAAATATTTCATATATCGGGACTCAAAAAATATTACTCGGGCCCGAATAGTGTTATGGTCTAAGATTTGAACCCTGTTCCGATCCACTGTTTCCCATTTTTTAACAAATATCCAGATCCAAATGGGGCATATCCCTCTGGTGCTAGGTCAGGTTTGGGTCTATTACCACCCGTATCTAACATTTATGCCATCACTCCACATAAGAAGAAAGTTCATATGTGGTTTCTAGGCTCACTCCTTTTATTTGTCTAATGATTTCATATTTTTTATGTTCATATTCCAATTTTTGAACATTTTTCATAATTTTTATTATAGAATGATTGTTTTGAATTTTGTTTGTCCTTATTTTGAAAGTTGACGGAATTCGAGGTGCAATTTTTTTTTTCCGTTTGTACTAAAAATTATCAAATCTTTCGATACTATGCGAGGGCTTATTTCATTTAGAGTTACAAAACCTATTGCTTGATATCCTTCATCCTCAATATTAACAAAATCTATAAAAATCACTTTTTCCCCAATTTTAACAGGATCACTAAGGATAAATTCTATTAATTTTTTCCTACCATTCATAGTATCAACTTCTTGTCTTTGTGAATATTTCACTTAATATTTTCATAATTTTTTGGTGCAAAAATTTATATTAACGCTAGTATCAAGAAATCACTCTACATTTTTCCAATTTTCACCTCTCCATCTACTGCAATTTTTGTTTGCACTAGTAATAGATTTTGAGAATGCATTATTTTTAAAATTTGATACATATTTTCTTTTGAAATTTCTTTATCTTTGAATGGTTTTTCAAATAATTTCGCATAATTACCATTATAATCACTATGAAAACTCTGTTTAATTTGTTCAATATGAACATCTTCATCAAAAAAACTAATGAATCATTAGATTCATCATCACTTGATAGAAAACTTACATAATCTTCTTCGATTATTTGGTAAGGGTAGGATGTCGAGCACTCTTCTTTTTGTTTATTATTTTCTCCCGAGACTACCTCCTTCTAAATAATCATCTTACTTTGTCTAACCTTTTCTTCATCTTCATTCTCATTTGTTTCAGCATCTTTTGGAGTAGAAGTAGAGATAGATATTAAAACCTTTCGAGATATCTATTATACGTCAAACTTGTTTTTTATGACTATGAAATCAACTCCTAAAAATTATTTTTCTAAAATTTCAACAACTACAGGTAGACAAAACTATTTTTGGGGCTAAATGTAGTTTCGATAGAGCATAAAATTTTCACCAAAATTATTATAATACACATTTCCCCAAGATTCAATCATATGCAAGGGATAAATTTCGGTAAATACACATTATTGTCTTTCAGACTTTTTCTTTGGGTGAGAAACGGGAAGACCATACACCATCCATGCAATAATTAAATCCATATCTCTTGTAGAATAATATTTGCTTCAATGGTGTAAGAACTTGATTTCAAGTAAAATATTATCATCAAAACAAGTTGTTTTTTGTTTTTCTGGATAGGTGATGTTATCATAAAGCCAAGTAGAAGTCATTTTTGCAAACTTCTTTGTTCTACCACGCTTCATTGCAGTAAAGAGGGAATCAAAATATTGAAGATATGCGCTTTGATACTGCGGTAAAAATTGAGCTCATATACAAAGAGAGTTATCATTCTTGAGGGTTTGCAAACTTCTCTTTCTTTTTTCTTTTTTTTTCCTTTTCCTTTTCCTTTTTCTTTTTCTTTTTTTTTTTTATTTTTTTAATTTTATTTTTTTAATATTCAATAATGGAAATGATACGGTTTTATTAGCCTATGAAATTTCGAATCCAAATTCCATCTGAGACATGTATTTTGAGAGGATGGACTTATCCGGATGCAACTCCACCTCTCCTAAACAATGCCCTTTACACTGTACATATGGAAGTGCTCCTACTACTGTATTTTCTTTTATTTTCACTTTTTTATCCTTATACTGTTATTATTATCTTAATAAAATATACTTAGTGTTGAGGACAAAAAAAAAGAAAGAGTGCTCCTCCTACTATACTACGGACTTTTTTATACAATCTATCATAGAAAATCAATCATCTATATGGGGTGTGGTTTGCCTAGGGTTGCAACCTTTCCAAACTTTATCATGAGAAATTCTTAAGATGGTGTGAGAATCTATTTTTATCTCAAATTATAAAATTTTAACTCCAAGATGATTCAAATCAAGAAGATCTATGCATACATGAAATCTTCAAATAGAAGATCTATATATAACATGGATGGTTGAGATCATATGTTGCAAGATGTACTACAATTTAGGACTTGAAATTTCTTACTTTCTCTCTTTTTTGAAATCAATTACTATGAATTTCATTCACTGATGAACAATTACAAGGAGGTTCAAAAAGAAAAGGATGTAACCCAATAAATGTTGGTGCACACCACCCTTTACTAAAGCATCAACTTCTATATTAACCTCCTTAAAGCAATGAGATAACTCAAAAGAACCACCATGTAAAATAAAAAAGATTTCATTGAAAATACTGCATAATCTCCAAGGTGGCTGCATTTTCTCTTTTTGCCCAAACAATGACATTGCTTGAATCAGCTTCAATTATCTTTTGGCCCTCGAGGTTCTTTACGATATTTAAACTCTCTAAAAGAGCTCTTGCATCACCTTCATTCACTATTGTATGTCCACATGGTCCCGAGTAGGTGAATCTGTAATTATCCATATGATTTCTAATGGTACCACCAT